AAAGAAAAAGCAAATCCAAACCCAGAAAAATAATTTAATGAAATTGAAAATAATCATTTGTAACTAAGCAAAACAAAATATTGGTTCTTTGAAGAGATTAATAAAGTTGATAAACCTTTGGCTAGACAAAAAGAAACAAAAAAGTAAGATCTGTAATAACTTCAATCAGAAACAATAATGGGGAAATAACACCAGATACCAAAGAGTTCCAAAAGATCCTCAATGACTACTACAAAACCTCTATGCCCATAAATATAAAAACATAGAGGAAATGGACCAATACCTGAAAGCATGCCACCTTCCTCAACTAAACTAGAAAGAATTATAAATTTTGAATAGATTTATATCAAGCAATGAAATTGCATCAACTATACAAAATCTTCTAAAAAAGTAAAGCCCTGAACCAGATGGTTTCACACCAGAATTCTGCCAAACCTTCAAAGAGAAACTAGTTCCTATATTGTATAATATATTTCAAAATATAGATAGGTAAGAAGTCCTCCCTAACATGTTCTATGAAGCAAATATCACCCTTATACCCAAACCAGAAAAGGACCCAACAAAGAAAGAAAATTATAGACTAATATCACTAATTAATCTCAACTTAAAAATATTCAATAAGATATTAGCAAGCAGAATACAGGGGCACATTAAAAAAGTTATACACCATCATCAAATGGCTTTTATCTCAGTGATGCAAAGTTGGTTCAACACAGGTAAATCCATAATTATAACTTACCATGTAAATAAAATAAAAACAAAGACCATATGATTGTTTCAATTAAGGCAGAAAAGGCTTTTGACAATATTCAACATTCTTTCTTGATAAGAAAAATCAAGAAAATAGGCTTAGGTGGAAAATTGCTTAAACTAATAGAGGCCATCTACAACAAACCCAAAGCCTATATCAGATGGAATGGAGTAAAACTGATACCATTTCCATTCAGATCTATAACTAGACAAGTATGCCCACTGTTGCCACTGCTATTCAACATAGTGCTGGAAGTCCTAGCTATTGCAATCAGGCAAAAGAAGGAGATGATTCAAATGGGGACAGAGGAGGTCAAACTCTCTCTCTTTGCAAATAACATGAGCTTTTACCTAGAAAACCCCAGGGACTCAACTGCAAAGCTCTTGGAAGTGATCAAGGAATATAGCACGTCTGGATACAAAATTAATGCCCACAAATCAGTAGCCTCCATATATTCCAAAGACAATCAAGTTGAGAATAAAGTCAAAGACATTATACCTTTTTTTTTTTTTGCAATTTTTGGCCAGGGCTGGGTTTGAACCTGCTACCTCTGGCATATGGGGCCGGCGCCCTACTCCTTTGAACTACAGGTGCCACCCCCAGACACTATACTTTTTATAGTAGCTCCAAAGAAGATGAAATACCTGTGAATATATTTAATATAGGACTTGAAAAATCTCTATAAAGAGAACTATGAAACACTGAGAAAAGAAATAGCAGAAGGCATTAACAAATGGAAGAACATACCATGATTGTGGTTGGAAAGAATCAACATCGTTAAAATGTCCACACTACCCAAAGCAATCTACACATTTAATTCAATCCCTATCAAAGTACCAATGTTATACTTTGAAGAACTTGAAAAAATAGTACTTTATTTCATATAGAACCAGAATAAAACTCAAATAACCAATAAAATTATTAGAAATAAAAAAAATCTGGAGGCATCATGTTACCAAACTTCAAGTTATACTACAAATTTACAGTGGTCAAACAGCATGTTACTGGTATAAAAAAATAGAGACGTAGCTCTATGGAATAGAATAGAGAATCTAGAGATGAACCCAACCACATTTCATCATTTAAACTTTGACAAGCCTAACCAAATCATGCACTGGAGAAAAGAATTTCTATTTAATAAATGGTACTGGAGAACTGGTTAGCCACATGTACAAGACTGAAACTGGACCCACATCTCTCACCATTGACAAAAATTGATTCTCATGGGATAAAAGATTTAAATTTAAGATACAAAGCAATAAAAATTCTCAAAGAGAGCATGAGGAAAAAGATTGAAAATATTGGTCCGGGAAAAGATTTTATGAAAAAGACTCCCCTGGCAATTGCAGAAAATAAATAAATGGGATAGCAAATAGACAGTCTTTAGAATGGGAGAAGATTTTTGCACATTACAAATCTGACAAAGGCCCGCTAACTAGAATCTACAGAGAACTCAATCAACAAGAGCAAACAACCCCATTTATAAGTGGGCAAGAGACTTTCTCTAAAGATGACAGATGGATGTCCAACAAACATATGAAAAATTGTTCATCATCTTTAACCATCAGAGAAATGCAAATCAAAACCACTCTGAGTGTTATATAACTTTAGTAAGATTAGCCCCAATTACAAAGTCCCAAATGTGCAGATGCTGGCTGGTGTGGAGTGTGGAGAGAAGGAAACACTTTTACATTGCTGGTGGGATTGCCAATTAATACAATCTTTATGGAAAGAGATATGGAGAATTCTCAAAGAACTAACAGTTGACCTACCATTTGATCCCATTACTAAGTATCTACCCAGAACAACAAAAATTATTTTATCACAAAGTCATTGCACCAGAATGTTTATTGCAGCTCAATTCATAATTGTCAAGATATGGAAGCAACCAAATGGCCATCAGTCCATGAATGGATTAACAAACTGTGGCATATGTATACCATGGAATACTATTCAGTCATAAGAAAAGATGGATATTTGGCATCTTTTATGTTTACCTGGATGGAGCTGAAACACATTCTTCTTAGTAAAATATCTCAAGAATGGAAAAATAATCCAATGTACTCAATACTAATATGAAACTAATATATAAACAAGTACGTGCCCATGTGAATGACAAAACACAAATATAGTCTAGCAAGGGGGAGGGAGGATTGGAGGCAGGAACTCACCTAATGTGCACAATGGGAAGGTGTTCAGCATCCCCTGTGAGTAAAAGGCTCTTTGACAACTTGAACTTTTCCTTGGGAGTGAGAACAATGTAACCCCCAAATTTGTACCCTCATATTAATTTGAAAAATAATTATTTTAAATGTATCATATTTATTAGTGAAACAGAAAAGAAGTAGAAATTAATAATAGTAGTGTATCAATAAATTTATTTTCAGAACTATCTTTCATAAAGCAAATTCTAATAATAGTGAAATACAGTGTAATATATCTAGTGAAATTTTAATAAGAGAAGTACTTTGTGCATTCTGTCAATGTATAGGGGCCTCTGATAAACTAACATTTATTTTACAAAATTAAATGATACAATGTAAACACAAGTGCTTCCAGGTTTGAATTTTTAGCATGAATGAATAAACTTTAACGTAAAACTTATTTTAAAAAATTCTATTACTATCCCATTCTAGCTTATCAAATAAAAATTAAGAAAACAAAACAAAGCTTAGTGTGATTAACAGGTTGTGTTTATTATTTCTTATAATATCTAAAAATTAAGATATATTGTAAGACTTTCTTAAAAATAATTCTTTACAATTTTTAGAAGGTAAACCTAATTTACACTTAAAAGCTATAATTTCCAAACTAAAATCAGTTTATTGTCTTTATGAAATTTACAGAAGCAAGTTATGACTCAGTTAAGTATCTGAAGCAGTTTCTACATGAATGTATTCCCCTGACATGAAAAACTGAGAAGCTTGGACAAAGTACCAGCTGTCACACTGTCACCAAGTGAAGACTGATTCCTCCCTGGTCTCCATCACGTGGAGATCAGGAGGGGAAAAAGACGAAACACTGAAATTACATTTAATTAGGGGATCCCCCAAAGGCATCTTGGTAAGGTTATTACATTTCTGAGGAGCAGAAAAATATTATAATAGTTAAGGCTCAAGATAATGCATTCAAAATGAAATATAATTACTGGTACATAAATGTAATTGCATATCAATATGTTTAAAGGATGTCATTTTGAGTCAGTAGCATACAGATTTTCTTTTTGACTCTCTTAGGACTTTGTAGGCACGTTGAAATCAATCATCATAGAGATGGAGTAAATATTAGAAACTCAAACTACATGGATGTAAATGATTGCATTGTTATGAATAAGCTGAACAACAACTCTTTGTGCCTATCCTTTATAGATATTTCGATAGTGAAAACAAATGTCCAGGATTTTAAAGTTTTTTTGAGAATATAATGTTATTTAGGGTAATTATGTCTGTTATGAGACAAAAATAAAAAAAAA